TTTTTTTTACTAAATCCCTTCACAACCAATCTTGCTTTGTACTTTGGTTGTGAATTGTGCTCCAAAATTTTCAACCTGTAAACCTATTTATTCTTCAGAGCTCTCTTGCCCTTAGGCAATTTCACTAGCTCATAAGTGTGATTCTCATGCAAGGACACCATCTCCTCTTGTATGGCTCGCAACTAATCTTCTTTATTCTCATGCTCGAGAGCCTCACCGTAGGACTCTAGCTCTCCTCCATCTGTCAACAACACATATTCATGAGGATTATATATGCTAGAAGGTCTCCTCTCTCTAGTAGATCTCCTAACCTCATCTTGTGGTGGCGGTAGTGGAGTAGGTGGTGCCTCATGCTCAGGTTCATCAGCAGTAGGATTATCACCATCATTAACATCCTCTCTCTGCTCTGTCTCAGCTCCCCCTTGATTAAAATCAACATGTACTGGAATTGGATCTGGATCTGAATTTGAGCTAGCAGGAATGTCATCTGAGGATTTTGAGTGTCATCTTTATCAATGTCTTCAATGGTTTGATCTTCAAGGAAGACAATATCTCTGCTCCTGATCACCTTCTTCTCAATAGGATCATACAGCCTATAACCAAAATCTTCATGTCCATAACCCAAGAAAATGCACTACTTTGATTTTACATCAAATTTTGACCTTTCATCTCTGGGGATATGAACAAATGTTCGGCAACCAAAAATTCTCAAATGCTTAAAGGACACATTTTTTCCCATCCATACTCTCTCTGGGATATCACCATCTAGAGGAACTGATGGAGAAAGATTTATCAAATCAACTGCAGTCCTCATTGCCTCACCCCAAAAGGGTTTTGGCAGTTTAGCATTAGAGAGCATACATCTGACCCGCTCAGTGATGGATCTGTTCATCCTCTCTGCTACTCCATTCTCTTGAGGAGTTTTTGGTACAGTTTTCTCCAATCTGATTCCATGGGACTTACAATAGATTTCAAATGGTCCTCTGTATTCACCACCATTATCAGCACGAATACACTTTAACTGTTTGTCAGTCTCTCTTTCAACTTTGCTATGAAAATCTTTAAACACATCCAAAACCTGATCTTTGGATTTTAAAGCAAAACACCAAACCTTTCGAGCAAAGTCATCAATAAAAGTTACAAAATAAATAGTGTGACGCCCCGAAAGTATAAGTGTGAGAACCCGTAAATTTTCTAATTTTTTAGGGTTTATTTTTTTTATAGCCCGCCTTTTCTACATTTTCTTTATTAGAAAAATTCCCCAGATAAAGTTTATGAGCAAAGATAGTTTTAAAATGATTTTTCTAGTATCGGTTAGTTTTTGAGAAATTAAGAGCGTATTTTGGACGTGGGACCCACTAGTGCGGTAAATGCATTATATTTTTGACAACTTGTTGGCATTTTGTATTAAGTGATATTATTTTACAAAGTGTTAAGATATTTGTATTGGAGAGACAAAAAGATAAGTTTTAAACCTAAAGGTGACAAGTGTCACCATAAGATTTAGTCTTGAGTTTGACTACTATTCATCACTTTACCATTTCATTAAAATTGGCCAAAAATCTCTTCATTTTACAAGCTTCTTGGCCGAATTCTCTTGCTCAAAAAAGGGAAGAAAAGCTCTCAATTTTCTAGTCTCCAATCTTGCCCAATCTTTCAATTAAACCGATTAATCTTTCAATTACTCCATAAAACCTCTTAGTTTGGTGGAGTTGAGCTTGGTTGTGAAGTTGTTTGGAAAGCTAAGGTGACTAGTTGCTCTATCTCTTGTATTGCTAAGGTGAGTTGTGAAGAACCACTTTCCTTCCTCAAATGATGTTCAATTCATGATTGGTGGTGGTATGAGATGCACTTTTATGGATTATATCTTGATTTTTGGTTGAATTGGTGAAGTTTTATAATTATTGGAGATTTTTCTGTTTTCATATGGATATGATTGTGTGGTTATATATGATGATTGGAAATGATATTTAAGGACTCTATGAGGTGGAAAAAGTGGTAAATTGCAAACAATTTCTGTTTTGGAAGAAATTTTGGAAAATTAGGGTTTATGATTGTGCATTCTGCCCGAATTTATAGCTCCTAGTTAGAGGCCGAATTGGCCTTGGCTTAAAACATGAAAGTTGTATGGAATGATATTCTAGAGGTGCCTACAAAATTTCAGGTCAATCGGAGTAGCGTAGAATGAGAAACGTTGAAATTACTATTGATGTTCTGGTTTTACCCGAATGTAAGAATTGCTCCTGTAATTGGTTGTTTTGGCTGGAATTGCTTCCGAATTGGTTGTTGAGATCTTCTGATGAAATGTAGCCCTGTTTCTTAGATTTCATCTGATTTTGGAATTTCTGGATTTGGACTTGGATAGCCTGCTTTATAATGTTTCCGCTAGAATGCGTTCTGTGAATCTGTTTTTGTGATTCTGGTGTAGTATCTTGCATTTTTGACCTGGTTACACTCGAAACTGGGTTGAGTGACCTTCTGCAATATTGTAGCCCTGTATTTTAGCCTCGAAACAGTGGGTCTTGTACCTTCATCCGACAATCGTAGCGCCTTTGGTACCATTACCGCAAAATGACGTCCAAAACTATTTTTCTGATTTTGAGCTTAACTTTCATTTCCGGACTTTTCCCTAGCTTGACTTGTACTAGTACTACTTGAAGCTTGCTGAATGGCTATTGGATGAACTTGTTGTTGTGTGTGTACCTTTGGGTTGGAATGAGGAAATAATGAAGCCATGATGGCTGGAAAAGTTAGCAAATTCAGGGGAAGTGCTGTCCGAACTTTGAAGGGATTTGTTTGCATTGAGTTTGTGATCTAAGACTTAGATTTGAGCAAGACTTGGATGATTTCTGAGCCGTGGAGGTGAGTGACCCTAAACTATTTTCAAAGTACTTGTGAAACGTTTCTTGCATTATTTACTTTTGAACTGTTTCCAAAGTTACTTTTGAACTGTTTTCTTGCATATCATGCGTGCTTATATGAGAGTGTTCCTTGTTTGATATATTTCCTTGACTTATTGGCTTGTTATTATGGATTGATAATGTGTTAAGTGCTTTCAATGATTGTTAAAACAAGTTTTCTGGGCGAGTGTGTACTTTATCGCACTCGACCTAAATAAATGTGAAATTTTCATGATTAATGATTAAATGCTACTTGCGCATGAATGTAAGCCTTTTGGGCTGAACTGGCCATTGCCCCTTGTTACCGGTCGTCTCGAGCCAGAAGCGGATTCGATCGGGCGATTAGGGACCTGGGTGAACGTTTGGTATACTCGAGTATTACCTTTGTAGGTTGGTGGAGGTTGGTAGAGCCTGGACGATGTCCGGGAAAGGTTGAATGAAAAAAATGCAATTTCAAATGAAAAAAAAAGGGAAATGACAGGAGAACGAATGTATCCTTTTCATGAATGTTACTATCGCTTTCCATTGTACATGTTTCTTGAATTATTGATACTCCATATTTAATGTTTTGTAAATATTGTAATTGTTTCTGGACTTATCATTTGATTTATGACATCATTGAAATGAACTATTGTTAAACCGATTTGATTACTGATTTTACCGGTTACTCGCTGAGCTTCTAGCTCACCCCAAAAACTATTTTATTCCCCTCCACAGGGCTCAAAGCGAAGGAAGGACTTGTTGCGCTTATTCATATGTCTAGATGGCCTATATCTTGTACAGTTTGGATTTGGAATCATTTTATGTATAGTTGGGAATTGTTTACGCTTCGCTTATGACATGTAATTTTTGGAGAATTTGATGTATATTGGAGATTTATATTGTAATATTTGAGGTTTATTCTTGTAATTTATTTGAGGACTTTAATGAACGACTGAATCCCGGCGAGAGTTGGGCAGGCGGCCCGCCGAACCCTCTGGTTCGCCTTAGGGGGAGGTGGGGCTGTCACAAATAGCACCACCAAGAGACTTATCTTTCATATAGCAAACATCAGTGTGCACCAATTATAACGGATTCAATTTTCTAGATGGAAGAAAATTTTTGAATGCAACTCTGTGTTGTTTCCCATAACTGCAGTCAACACAAGGTTTAAATGCATTACCTCTAATTTCAGGTAGGAGTTGTTTGCGATCAAGTGTCCAAATCCCTTTTTCACCCATGTGCCCAAGTCGCCTATGCCACAGGTCAATTGATGAATCACGAACTGCATTGACTTCTCCCTTCCCCAACTTGGCTTGCATCAAGTAGAGGATACTCTGTTTCCTTCCTCTAGCAACAACGAAATTTCCCTTGCTGAGTTTTCATTTGTCTCCACCTTGTGAGTTATAGTAGCCCTCATCGTCAAGTTTTCTTGTAGAGATAAGATTAAGGCGAATATCAGGGACATGTCGAGCATTTTTTAATATCAGCTGGCACCCGGTATCTGTATCCAAATATATGTCTCCCATGCCAACAACTTTGCATGAGACCTCATTTCCCATCCTAACATATCCAAAATCCCCTTCGGTGTAGGTTGAGAAGAAATGCCTGTGAGGAGTAACATGGTAGGATGCACCCGAATCAACTATCCAATCACTATCATAATAAATAATATTCACCTGACCATCATCACAGAACACAAACATATCATCATGAGCTGCCACAACTGCTGTAGTGTCCTCATCATCTTTTTCCTTCGCCTTACCCTTTTTCTCAGCCTGATCCCGTTTTAGGATTCTGCACTCCTTCATATAATGCCCATTCTTTTTACAATAATAGCATGCAACATTTTTTCGTGACTCAGACCTGCTTCTAGATTTGTCATTCCTGTTGTGGGGACCTCTATTTTTACTTCTTCCTCTTCTTTCTTTCTTTTCTGTCACCAGGGTTTAGGTCTCATAGACAATTCGTTGTTCCTTCCTCCTGAACTCTTCATTCATCACAGCCTCTTTTGCAATAGCCATGGTCAACACACCATTCGGAGCTGAATTACTGATGGAGACCACCATGGTTTCCTAACTATCTGGTAGTGAACTGAATAATAATAAAGCCTGCACTTCATCATCCAGATTCAAATTCAATGTAGTTGCCTGGTTTATTAATCCCTGAAAATTACTCAAGTGTTCAGTCATATCTTCCCCATCCTTATATCTCATTCGAGTAATCTGCTTCAGACAACTAGCCTTGTTCAAACCTGTCTTTCTTTTATACATACTCTCAAGCTTTTTCCATAATATATCAGCTCTGTATCATTAGCAAAATATTAAAAAATATTTTGACCAATCCATTTTCTAATATTACCAACAGCTTTCCTGTGCATATTAGCCCATTTTTCATCACTCATATCACTTGGTTTACATTTATCCCCTAGAACAGGTTCAAACAAATCTCTACAATACAAATAGTCTTCCATTCTAGGCTTCCAAATTGAATAATTAGTTGCATTCAATTTTATCATGCAACCACTATCCGAATCATCCATTTTTAACTAGTACAACTGAGCAGCCCAACCTGACTGCTCTAATACCACTTGTTGGGAAAGGGGTACTAGTACAGGCACACAATATCAGAGTAAACCCAGGATAAATAACTCTTTTCCAAAGTACTAGTTAAAATAGGAATAAACCAAATCACCAAGTAATAATACAGCAGTGATAATAAAATGCAAGAAAAATAAAGAGCATAGGACACCAAGATTTTTACGTGAAAAATTCAAATTAGAAAAAACCACGGGACCTAGTCCAGTCAAAAAATCTCCACTATCACAATAATGGGAATACACAGGTCTATCCGAAATATTCGGATGACAATAATAGCACCAATATCAACCAAACAAATCTGCTATAAAAAACTACAACTGTTAAAGAAATGGGTTTGGAAAGATGTTACCAAACGAAGAGGAAATCTGAAATCTGAATTGGTAGATTAGTAGAGTTTGACGAGAGGATCCCGTGTGTAAAATTTCGCCTCAATCGGACTTCAAATCACCTTCCAACTGAGGCTCCAAAATTGTTTCTCTCTCGCTGCTATTTTTCTCTTCGTCGTTCTTCACCACAATGAAGAAGGTGGCGGCTGACTTTTTTCTAACTCTTCAAAGAGTAAGAAAGCTCCCGCGGCTGCTGCGTGTATTTAAGCTTGAGAAACCCTCAAGCTTTGTTTACTTGCACAAATGGGCTGGCTCACATACAAGTCCAACACAGTCTTCTCACGATCAATATGAAGCTAGACTGCATTGAAACTAAACTTTTCTTTAGAGTTTCAGCATATCCAACTATTGTGAACTTAATAAGTCAAAAAATCAGTCAAAAAAAGAGTTTCAGCCAAAATAAAAGAATATGTGAATTTTAAGAAAGCAGCCACCCCAAGTTTATAAGACTCGTCCTTTCTATTATCAAGTTTCATCCAATTTTTGTCCATGTCCTAGAGTTACAAATCCAGAACATGAGTCACAAATTTTTATCAACACATTACAACCAGAAATAAGCATAGATAAACTAGTTATGAAACAATAGATTTTTTGAGGTGAATCTATAAAGATATAAGTGCAATTCCTAATGTGCATAAGTAGGCATGGGGTAAAACAGGAAAATCCCTACTTCTCTGTGTTTTTTCCAGATTATATATTAAACATACACTTTTGCTAGCTTAGACAATCATCTATGAATTTCATTTTGAAGGAACAAGGAATGGAATTGTTAAGTGGCATCAACTGCAAATCTGTTAGTGTTGTTGCAATTGCATCCTTTAAAAGAGAGACTAACAAGTCAAAAATAATCTATTAAAACATAGTTTAAAGAAGTTACCTGACAAGTAACGAAAAATTAGAAGAACAGAGGTAAAAATAGGCCTAATTGTCTCTCGAATCCAGTGTAAAGCAGCTGCAAAAAAGGCAATGAAAAAGCTGAGAACCATTTTTCAATTGAGGCTCCAATGAAAAAGCTGATTAGTGAAGAAATATACAGAAAACAGAACACCAAACATAATGCACCAAGTGTAACAACCCATTTAATGGGAGTAGATATTTTACCATCAGGAACAAAATCAGTTGCACAGAAAGTTGAGAAAAAGAATGAACTACATGCATAAAGCTTCTAAGATTCAGTGAGAAAAATGGACTGAAAAACATGGTACTGACAAATTTTTAACTAGGAGTGGTAAATGGACTGAGTGAGGAAAAAATGGGTAAAGAGAAAATTTTTACTTGCGGTTTAGACAGGTCAAGTTTATGTCATGATAAGTTCTATCACAAAGATATTCATACCATCGTCTTCATTTTCTCCACCTTTATGTATACTTCAGTTTCATAATGACAGAAACTCATCGAATTAGTGAACTGTGGTAGTTGTTTAGATCAATAGAGTTCCATATTATCCTTAATGGAATATTGAGTTTGAGCAAAACTCTTATCTGAATAAAAATTTCTCCCATTGCTGGCCTTTTAGGCTTTAGTTAGCGTCTCTGCAATTCCAGTTAAGTGTTGTTCTGAAGACATGACAAGAAAAAAAGAAGCAGAAAGATTCAACAAGGAAATATACAAGTCTATTATTTAGTTTGAGAATCCTATTCAATTCTTGAATGGCATATGAAGTATGAACATGAAAGTATTAATTATACTTATAGATTGAGTAGGGCAGTAATAGCATTCATGGCTCTTAAAAAGGAAAAATAAAAAATGTGCTATGACTAACAAATTTAAGAATCTTGTCCATTTCCAAAATGTTATTTCATTTTCATAAGATTCTTTCTTCTAGATGAGACATTGTCGTATATACTGTGCTCAACTAAGCTTATGAGTGGGGCCGTTAATCCATTTTGTTTTTACAATATAAATTATAAGAAAAAGAAAAAGAAAAAGAAAGAGGAGATAGAATGAGGGTAACACGACTAATATAACAGATGTCAAAACAAAAACTCCATTACATTTTTTGGTTTCGAAGTTAAATTGTATCCCATAATAGTGGGGCAGCTGGAGCCAACCTAGTGCTATCACCAAGTAGCCAAAAGTACCTCTAACAAGTGTAGTTGTATGAGTTTTATCAGCTTCAATGGACCTTGAAGTTCCAAAATCTGACACTTTGGCTATGTGCTTCCCATCCAAAAGTATATTGTTAGACTTGATGTCTCTATGACAGATGGGAATTGCGGCTGCCGAGTGTAAATATGCCAATGCTCCTGCTACTTCACTTGCTATTCTTAGTCTGAAGTTCCAAGTGAAGGAGAATGAATCATCTATCTGATTATGAATGAGGCTGGAGAGGGTGCCATTAGGGATAAATTCATAGACCAATAGAAGAACTTCTGTCTCTAAGCAACAACCCAGTAGTTTAACTACATTCCTATGGTTGACTTGTGAAAGAACGATAACCTCATTGATGATTCAGTACCATAAAGCTTCTGTCAGTACCATGTTTTTACTTTATCTTTGGCATTAAATGCTTTTATCTAAATCAGTAGAACCATAGATGGACTTTTTACAGGTTAAGTGCAATCCTATATAAAGCACATCAAAACCAACTAGAGAACTCTGTTTGCTTGGCAGAATAGTCAGCAGTGGTTATTGACAAGAAATTCTAAAACTGAAAAAGAAGCTCCATTCATTCACAAGCAGGCCGTCATCGTAGCTAAACAGATTTTCTCTGTTTGGCAGAGTGGACGAGAAGAAGATACAGCACTAGGACAATCTCTATTCAAAATAAGTAAATCTTGAAAGAGTTGCAAAAATTTCTAAACTTAAGCGGAGCTGTGATTTAAAACTTGGCCCTTCGCTGTGTCTATCCTGTATATAACTAACTTAATGCAAGTGTTCTACAAGTTACCTTTGCTGTGTTGAAAACAACATTTTTGCAGTCTGCAAGAATGCTCACAGACCAAGCAGGAAGGAAATATGAAATCCCCTTGAATGTGACGTTGGCATCTACTTTCCTGTCATAGTTAGCAAGAAAGGCTGCACAATCGTTTAAAGTTTCATAGTACACATGTGCCTGATCAAACAAATTCATTCTGTTTTTGGATAAATTCACTATTTTGGATAAATATACTGCATCTTTTGCCTATTTTCGAAGACATAAACCGTAATGATCATCAGAAATGTCTATTGCATATGTCCTCTTATGAAAAACTCTTTCTCTTATCACTACCCACCATTATAGTGGGGGCAATGGGAAAGAAGTCCTTGAATTAAATCAGTCGGTTCAAATGTTCAACAGAAAAATCGGCCTCAACCCACTGTTGTCCAACTCATTATAGGAATAGAAATATCGAGTCAAGAAACGTGTTCTTCATTTTCCTTTTAAACAGGAACCAACCAATATCAAGTCTAAAATTACATAATAAAAACTCTTCAGAAAATCCCTTCATTACACAAACAACAGATATTTATAGCACCCAACACTAAACTCAAATCCAAGCAAAGACTGTGATAAGCCTACACATAATGGGCAGAAGACACATTAACAAACAGCCATTAGACAGAAATGTTCGAAAATAAATGGAAAATATTGAGATTATTTACCTCAAATTATGCCGTGACAACCTTAGGTCTTGTTTTCCTTCTGATTCAGTCTTCAAATTATGGCTTTTCCTCAAAATTCATGGTACTGGCTCAATTTAGGGATATTTGCTATCTGCTACTCTACTAAAGCTGCCCTATCAGTTTGGGTAGCTCTTTTTTTTTTTTTTGAACAAAGGTGATGGGAAAGTTTATTGAGAATGATACGTGCCTCATTGCTAAATTACAGAACCAAGAGTACCAACAGCTACCATTGGACAAAAATGAAATACCATATTTCAATGGAAATATTCAGAAACAAGAGTTTGCAGTTTTTGAGTAACATTAGGCCAAAATTACCTCTTGTTAGGAATCTCCATTGCTTGAAATTGAATTCAGCTGCACAGGGCAAACAATTACTTGTGCATCATTTCAACCTAAATCATCTAAAATTGTGAAACTTTTATAACTTCTTCACTGTGACCAGACACTCGTTCAAAAACCTCTCAAGCTTTGATGTATATACACTGGGAAAAGTCTGATAATGGTCAACATGAGGTGATGCACCAAAGTTGAATGCCCACACATTTTTCCCACTTCTCTTCTGTTCTTCAACAAATGACTCAACTGAGGAGAATGGAATGACCTTATCAGCTGTACTATACAGATAAAGCTGTGGGCAAGAAGGCCGGTTTTTTGAAAGGACAGAGATTATCTTTGTCAACCGCTGTTTGACGCCGTTCAAGTTTAGGAGATAAGAGAAGAGCTTCTCAAATGCCGACAAAAGTAAGGTTTCAATGAACAGGGGCTCCTTTTCTCGCAAGTTTGAGGTATCAACTCCACTTTTCAATTGATTTCTTCCTATAGCTTCAACTAATGGATAAGATGATGAACTATATTTCTTTAGCAGGGCTGCAGTAAATCCAGCAGCCTAGACCTTGGGATCTATATTAGCGTCACCTCCTGAATCAACAATAATTCCCTTGATTTTCTCCAATAAATTTGGCCTACTTTGCAAATTGTCAAGAATGGCACCATACCTCCTCAGATGCTTCGGCTTTGACCCAAGCCATCCCAACAAAACTGCAGCAAAGATTGGCCCTTTATCCCCGATGACCGCATTTTCTCTAGGGTGAATTCCATCAGGAGCGTAATTCCAGTGGAAAGATTTATCTTTTTGGTCAGAGAAAATGCGGAAGAAGGTTGAGGTGGAGAAGAATGAGTTGAGGAGAAACAGTGAAGAATTTAGGGAATGGGAAAAGCCAAATGAGGTTGTTGAGGGGTAGTGGGGAATGCGGGCGTTTGAGAAAATAATGGAGTGGCGATTTTGGGGGTTAATAAATGAAACTGCAGGAGTTGGAATTGGGCGATGATGATGATGACAATAGTAAGGAGGAGGAGAAGGAAGCAGTGTGGAAAAGGGCTTTAAAGGAAGCTGCTTTTGGAGAGGGAAAAGGGAGTTGGAAAGATGGCGAGCGGAGGAATTGAATAGTATCCGGACTGAGGCTTCCATTGTTGCTTTTCGGGTGAGATAGTGAATGCTGATCGAAACTGAAGCAGTCGAGAACTCCAAAACAGGTCGCGCGGCTGGATCCCAGTGGAGAGAAGGAGAAGAAGATGGGGTCCGAAGGCAAAGAAAGAGGGAAATGAGTTTTGTCTGAAATTTGGCTAAGTGTTGAGTGTTTTTCTTCCAAATCAACTTCAAACGACGTCGTTTCTGCTTCTTTTAGAACCCCGCCTCTACTCTTTCAATTTTCAGCTTCCCGCTTCCACTATTGCACACTAAAAAATACGTCTTCTCTCTAAATTGTTGAACGCTTTTTTAATAAAAGTAACGCCTTCTATCTCTTTTTCTTTTCCCAATCTTTGTGTAATTAACATTGTTTATTATTTTGAGCTTTTTTATTTCACAAGTTATATTAAAACTTTACAATATGAAAATTTAGTATTTTTTGATTTTTTCTTTTTTTACTAACATAGGTTTTTTAGGATCTCTACAAAAAATAATGTTCAAAAACTAAAAGACTTATTAAAAATATGTTTATGATTCAAAAAAAGACCTTTTAATGCAAATATTTTTGGTATCAATTATGCAAGAATTGTGGTCTGACAAGACCAAACAATTGTTTAGTTGATCAAATAACCAAAATGGTTTACTAATACATGCATGAAACACTAAATCTATTTGATACAAGTACTGATTCATACACCATAAACAATTTGATTATTGTAAATTGTAATACATAACAAACTCCAGTCATGCAATTGTTAAGATTTTTACTTAATTTCATATTAAATTTTATTATTCTTTGCCATTATTTTCATACTATGTTAATCAGTAATTTTCCATATGTTATCAAGAGAACTAAATAATGAATTCATGATATTTTTTAACTTTATAACAAGGTATTAGCTAAATTTGGAATAATTAAAAAAAAGGTATAAAATTTTTTTACAATACCTTCCTTATTTTGCCAATGATAAACACAAAATAAAGTGTAAAGCGTAGGGTGACATAATAGAATTAATAAAATCGGTTTATCACATACGAGGCTAAATTGCAAAAGATAAGGTGTCATGGTAGAGTTAAATGAGATTAGTTTACCACATACGGGGCTAAAATATAAAAGTTTGGTTGCCATAACATAATTAATTAAATTTATTTACAGCATATGGGCCATATAGAAAAAATTAGGGTGGCATATGGGGCTAAAATGTAATAGTTAGGGTGTCATATAGTAGAATTAATAAAATTTATTTACAACATATAGGCCATATTAAAAAAATTAAAGTTGTATGTGGGGTTAAAATATAAAAGTTAGGGTGTCATAATAGAATTAATAAAATTTATTTACAACATATGGGCCATATTGAAAAAATTAGGGTGATATAGTAGAATTAGTGAAAGTGAATTGGAAATAAACACTTTGGACAGTGACGACTAGTTGTTGTCACTAATTTAGAACTGACAACCATATTGTGACGATATTTTAAGTTATCACTGTAGGACCAATTTCAATGACAACCTATTTTTCAATTATCACAATGGTGATCTCCCGCCACACTAGCTAGTTGCGCGCCATCCATATTGTGACGACTTATCCCATGTTGTTACTGTTGACGGGTGAACCCACAATCAACTATGACGACATTAAAACTCGTCACTAAAGTTTTCAATTGTGACAAGTTTCTCTGCTGTCACAGAGAATGTTGTCACAAAAGACCAAATTTCTTGTAGTGAGGCCATCTTTGTGTAGCCATTTGAACAAAACTTCTTATGAACTTTATTTGGTAAAAGTCAATTGTTGATTATTTTAAAGTATTTGATTGCAAATGTTCTATTTTAAACATCAATGAATATCTTGGCAAATTTGATAAGAAAACAGATGAAAGTATTTCTTTTAGATAATTCTAGTGATAAAAGCATTTATAAAATTTGCAATAGGAGAACTCTTGTGATTGAAGAAACTATCCATGTTACATTCGATGAATCTAATGATGTTGTCACAAAGAATGTTTGTAAAGATGATAATGTAAATTTGCAGTATGATCTTGAGAAGTTGACCATTCAAGATAAAGAAAATCCATTAAAAGGAAGTACTTCTCAAAGTGTGGAAGAATGAGAAGAGAAGAAAGATGATGAGGACCCAAGGAACTTCCAAACCTTAAAAAATTTTACAAAATCATCCAAAAGAGGTTATAATAGGTGATCCATTTGAGAGAGTAAAAACTTGTTCTACTACTAGAACTTTACTCGATAATTTAGTTTTGATTTCTTCATTTGAATCTAAAAATGTGAATGAGGTTTTAAAGGATAAAAATTGAATTCTAACCATGCAAGACAAATTGAACTAAATTTGAAAGAAATAATATTTGAATTTTCGTAGAAAGGCCTTTAGATCATCTGGTAATTGGAACTAAATAGATTTTTAGAAATAAATTGGATGATAAGAGTGAGATTGTGAGAAATAAGGCTAGATTAGTTGTTAAAGGGTATGCTTAAGAAGAAAGAATTGATTTTGATGAAACATTTGCTTCCACAACTAGATTGGAATTCATTAGAATATTTCTTACTTATACTTTCTTTAAAGGTCTTAACTTGTTTCAAATTGATGTTCAAAGTGCTTTTTTAAATGGCTTTATTGATCAAAAAGTTTTTATTTAACAACTCCCTGATTTTGAAAATGAAAAATTTTCAAATCACGTTTTTAAACTTTCAAAGTTTTCATATGGTTTGAAGCAAGCTCCAAGAGTTTGGTATAAAAGATTAAATGATTTTTTCATTGAAAATGGTTTTAAAAGAGGAGATGTAGACACACTCTTTTTACATAATTTTTCTTGAATGATCTTTTAATTATTCAAATTTATCTGGATGATATTATCTTTGGTGCCACTAATGAGTATTTATGCAAGGAGTTTTCTAACAATATGCAAAAGGAGTTTGAGATGAGCATGATAGAGGAGATGAACTTCTTCCTTGAGTTACAAATTCACCAAACTCAAGAAGGGACT